ACCTACCTATGGCAAGAGAATGATATGTACAATAGTGACCGGCCCTAATGCTATTCCATTTTCCCTCGAATGGGGTAACAAACTACTCAACACGGAGGAGAGAGCTAATACATGAGATAAGGACGCGCAAAGGGCTCAGCCGCCGTGGGAGGCGCGGTGGGAGTCCGGGCCTGCACCGATAAGGAGCGAAGAGGCTCCGTGCGAGAAGATAGACAGCCGGAGGAAGCCGACAGAGGTAACAAAAGTGACCTTTAGAGGATATATAGCTGGTGACCTACAACATGTTAGCACGCTGAAAGAACTCAGAAAATTGTTATTAGTGGCGAAGTAAGGCAATTAATAAGCAATATCGCGTGTGTAGACCAGAAGTGTCTGTGAAATTTCAAAGATTGAGGCTGGCGATGGCGCCGGCACCGGTGTGGGACACCGCCTTAACCGGGTCAAGGGAGTGAGGACTATAATTCTCCACTTTTAAGAAAGTTCGAGTGAGACTCGACGGATGACGGGTTATTGACAACTTGGTGTTGTTTTATTAGATATGTGTCGAGTGGAGAGGATTTGTCAGAAAGACGCCCTATTCGTGAGCCAGGAAGTTACCTAGTAGGAGCAGGAAACGCTGTTCACTATACTTAGTGCGTGGGAGTCTTGCTACTCCCTCTGCCGTCGTGCCAGGCACCTTTCTCACCAATAGGTCGTACTCTTGCTTTGCAGGGGTCTCAAATCAAGCGTCTACAACTAACTTCCTCTAATGAGCACTACAGGTAAGCTCAAGAAATGTGGGCTAGAAATGACCTTCATGGATATAGACATCAAAATACATGGGCTGAATTACTGGTTGACGTAGTGCAAGTAGTTACCATGCAAAAAGAATTAATTCTAGGGCGATTAGGCCCAGCTTACTCTGCATTTAAACCCGGACTTTGGAACTGTTACGAGGGACTGAAACTGCAGTGCAAATCGAGGCCACAAAAGCAAGAACAGACACCTGGAAGAAAACAGATATATCTATTGTGGAATAGGACTCACGATGATCTCATCTTGACGCATTTTATTTGTCAAGTGCACCTTTTGTATTCGCGTATATAGATCGAACAAAAAAGAGGACCCGAACAGTTCTTGTCTTACTACAAGAGTGCAGATTCTGAGTCTATCAAATTGATAATTCCAGGCCCTTTTACGTCCTGTAGACCAACAATCCTCAACACTAGGTCGTAAAAGTGAGGTGCCAATACGAACTTGCCGGACAATCATTTACACCCTCTCCGGAAGGCTTTTTTCTGAAACTGCGCACTTCTGCAGCCTCCAGATCTTAGCTATGGTGAACAGGGACCTTCCAGAATCTCCGCGAACTCTGAACTCTCGTTGCTGCATGTTAAATTCATCAAAAGAGTTTAGAGGATGGCAGTGTTTCAAGGCCTTTCACGTGTGTCATCTATGATGACTACTATCTTGACTGTTGTCATTGCCATAGTGCGGAGTACAACTGGGTCTTCATTTATTTGTTCCTTACATAGTGGCGCATGCTACCATCGAGACGCATTCTCGATGAATTCTCGGGCTTCGGCACATCTGCCTATAGAAGCCTTCGTTTTGTGCCTCATCAGACGCTAACAAGCACCTGGCTTCGCTGGGCTTCTTGTCGTAATGTGGGTAGAGTGGCAAGTGGCAAAACCTCGGGCGTACTGTGCCGCTCCCCTAAACCTTTCACATGTTTCTCGTACCCAGCCCATCTTCTCCTCCCACTGAGGGCGCTGCGGCTCTGAGAGCCGCGTACCGGCTCCCATGACTCATTGGAAGCACGCTCCAGTCTGGCTCTGGTCAGTGCAATCTCTAGCAGCCTGCTGTAGACGAGTGAGAGCAGCGCCGGCTGCTCGCTGTCGCAGAGTGAGCATGGTAAGGCTCTCTGTACTATCTAGTTCCTTCTATCGCACAGCTACAATCTTTTTCACAACTGAAAGCTTCTTGCAGAGTGCACTAGGCCTTCCCGTTAGTCCTTCCCAGATCAAAGACTTTAACCTTCATGACGGAGGCAAACCCGAAGGCTCCTAGCTGCTCCTTCTGCAGAAGATGGGCAGGGCGAACCTTTGCATTTTACATTTAACTTTAATCTGTAGCTGTTCTCAGGCCTCATATTCTTGGAGTGCCTGTATTAAACCCCTATCTAATACTTCCTTGCTCCGTAAATCCATGCTTGCGTCTGGTTCTGATCACGCGTGCCGCACTGCCAGGAGCCTCCAAAAACATCTGTAGGCTCTGTCTGATAGCTCAGCAAAGGTCTTGCAACAATTTCTTGTTGGAGTGAACCAATTCTAGCTAGAGCCCTTCTTATTCCTTTTGACAGGCTATGGCAGTCCCTAGTAACTTATAGCAACCTCCTCGGGTTCTTTCTAGCGCGAGAATTCCGTCCTTTTGTTACATTACAGTACATTTATATCATAAGCGTGAGTGTGTTTATTTATTTCATCCGAGAGAACAACGCTTCTGCCGCATATTATCGCCCAGTGCCACAGTACAGGCAACACTTTGTCACACTGGGGCAGCTAACCCGCCAATGACCCCAGTATTCCTCACGTTACTCAAGCCATCGCATTCAATTAGTTATATGCTAAGTTTGGTACTTGGCTTTTGGTGTACAAAATGCAGCAGCTGCTTGAGCACATCACAAACATGGCACCCGCAGTTTTGGTTGGGAGGACGCTATTTGGGAAGATGAGTTAAAGGGGAGCTTGGCCATGCAACACACAAGAAACAACAGTAAACAGCCATAAGTTGTTTGCATATGGGTGCCACCCCAACAGGAATAATTAGCCGAAGGCCATAATCACAGCGTCTGGCAGGTTGCCCAACCTCATTGATTTTACTATGCTTGATGAGTGAACTCTTAGGTTGCAAGCTAGAAAAAGGATATGCTTATCTTAGCTTTTCATAATTTGTGAATTTTCCCGACAATTTCATGTACTTTTAACCGGCAAATTTGTCTGAACGAGAACTCAGACAGCCCCAACAGATGTTGAGCGCCTATGTGCGACTGCAGAACGATTGCAATGCCACGGCTGTGGATTGTCCATTGTCCTGAAAGGTACTGAGCTTGAAGTTTTCTAGACACTATTTGACATTAAATGTTTAGGGAATAATATCCTTGGTTTGGGATAAGCTCTTAAGTTAGCAGAAGCAGCGCAAGAGCGCCGGCAGCAGCTGCAATAGCACGTGCAGCAGCCTGCAGCGCGCCCCAACACCAGCAACAGCAGCAGCAGCACCACAGGCAGGCGGCATCGGGGGCTTCGTGGACTATGTTTCTGGTCTACTCTTTCCATCCGAATCTCACATAGTAAAACTTGTTATTTTGTGTGTTCTACGACAATACCTTTCGGTCACCACGCATCAGGGTTGCAGCATATCAGGAGCCGCAGCGCAGCAACGGCAGCAGGATTCAGCTTTGCAGCAGCATCAGGAACAGCTGGAAGAAGTGCCTGAAAGCAAGTCCAAGAGGGAACTTCTGTTTCCATACCGATAATCACCATCAAGTCTGTTATATTTGGGACCTTGGAAGTCGCATTCGTCCTTTGCAGACAGGTGCTCCTCCACTGCATACCCGCGCGTTTACGCTCGGTAGATTCAACGCTTCACTGGCATTTTTCTGGTGTAGCGTGGCTTGGAAGCTCTATATACCTTCCTTGCTGCGTGCCATCTTGAGGTCTTCATGTCTTTTGGCCTTGCGTAGTGAGTCCGTCTTCAGTGGTGTTGGCTTCGCTGCTGCCGCTACTGCGGTTGTGCTGCTTCACTAGTGCATCTTTGAAGGTGGCTTTTGTGGTCGCCTGCATGCTGCGTTTTGTTTTATTGCAGCTACTGATCGTAATTGCGGGCTCGGCAGCATACAGCACTCCGCACAGCCTCCGCCATTAGTGGTCCGTGAGGGCTGGATGTGCAACTGACTACTCTACGGTCATTTCCATACCTCAGCATCTACCTTTATGTGTGCGGTTGCTGCTGCGGCGGCTGAGGACAGATCAACAGTCTGTGCAATGAAAGCTGCGTCTCTTCGTGTTTCCCTCTGCCCAGTCTATCCACGGCTGCTTCGGGACGGCAGCCGAGAGCGCTGCGCTGTACCTTGAATGCTCATCTTCGTGCCTCGGCACAAAGCCCAGATACTTGTTACTGCTTTTGGGTTTTTTAGAACTGGAGTGCTGCTAGCTGCAGCCGAAGACAACCTAACATCAGTAGTACCGAAGACCTAGAGCGCTACTCTCCACCTTCAGGACGTTCATGTGAACGCCCACGCCCCCGCTGCAGGCGGCTTTGCGTCCGCTGCAGCGCTAAAGGCTGCAACAGCAGCGTTATCAGCCAGCGCAGGCTCTACAACGACAGCAGCAAAACCAGGCTCAGCAGCAATAACAGCAGCAGTACCTCCTGTTCAGGTGCAGCTCTATAGTCCGGAGTTTCCACTGTGATGGAAGTGCAGGCATACGTGGAGTAAGGTGCAGCAAGGGTGGCCTCTCAGCTGGTGATGTTCTGTGGCTCGGCAAGACTCTGCAGCAAACGCGGTTAGGGTAGTAGACTACCGCTGTGCTGCACATCTACACAGAGTCACCTGAAAGGTGAGCTGGCCGTGGCGCAGAGGGTTTTTTGCGTGCTAGTGTATGTTAATCACGGTAGTTGTTAGTCTGAACGTGCTAGGATGTTTATATTTGCGGCAAAAAGTGCGCGTGTCGTTCCCCGCAGCATTGTTCTGACTCCGCCCACAACCAGCAGCAGCGGCTTAGAGCCGCAGGGCAATCCCCTTTCTGCTCAGCGCAGCATGAAGGAAGGGCAGCCGGCGCCTCCCAGCCCGGCGTTTCATTTCTGCGGCGGCGCAGCGCGTCAGCCAGTAATCCGTTGCCGTGAACCACCGTGAGGCTGCGGCAGCTGCGACAGCGGCTTCAGCAACTTATTTGTGGCGCCAGCACTCACATACACGGAAGTTGGGGGATTTAATCTAGCTATCTTCTACGTTGGAAGTGAAGATGGTTTTTTTCTCGCGCATGCGCCGCGAAAAGCGGAAGTGCGATGGCAGCAGCAGCTTCTGCTGTAGTAAGAGTGAGACTGACTCTGAATGCAGTAGCCTGCGCCAGGACGTGTGTGACACCCTGCAGCCGCAACAGCAGCTGCTGGCTCCGTCTCCTGCGCTCGATCAGTGGTCCTTCCCGTCTTGCCGCAGTGGCCTCCGCACCAACAACAGCAACAACAGCAACGGCGGCCACCGCCTATTCTCCCGACTCGCGAATCATGGCGCTGCCTTCCCAGCAGAGGTGCCGCGAATGATGGGACGCCACAACAACGGGACTCTCTCCCAGTCTCGCCAGGAGAACCTTTGCGCAGCAAGAGAAGCAGGCACAGCAGCTGCAGTGGCACATGCACAACGGTGCGTACAGCGCAGCCCAACGGCAGGTGTGCCCTGCTGTTGCTGCAGCGACAGCAGCACGCAAAGCGGTGGCAGCAGTGAACTCTGTCGCGGGCGGTGGTGCAACGCCGCTTGCTCTTCAGGTCTTCTGTTGCAGCAACAGCAAGACCAGCTGAAACCTCCGCAGGTGCCTCAGCAGCAACAGCACGCTGCAGGCATGGTGCTGAACGTCCCGACATTAATAGAATCTAGGGGAGTGAAGTGCCTCATTCTGGATGCCCCAACGAACGAGAATCTGCAGGCCTATCTTGCTCAGCTGGTCCAGGTGGGCGTGACTGACCTCGTGCGTACTTGCCCACCGACCTATGACGAGGCCCCAGTCGTAGGGGCCGGTATTCGTATGCACGACCTGACATTCCCTGATGGTGAGGCGCCCCCAGACGAAGTGATCGCACGCTGGCGAGCTCTCGCAGCGCAGGCGAAGGCAGAGGGAGGTGTCTTAGCTGTGCACTGTGTCGCCGGGCTGGGAAGGGGCCCCGTGCTCGTTGCAGTGTCGCTAATAGACAGCGGTTTGGAAGCTGAGGAGGCCGTCAACTTCATTCGCTCGCGCAGAAAAGGTATGCTGCGCACAAGTGCCCGTTTCTGGGTACTTAGTTCGTGGAATGGGAGGTGAGGCTGCAAGGCAGGAGGGGGTTTATTTATGAGATTCGTTGCGATGGCTGCTTTGTGGGACTGTTCAGGGGCAATCAACAGACGGCAGCTTGCCTTCCTCCACAGCTACCGTCGTCATGCTGTAGCTTCTCGTCGCTGTATCAAGGGTTGCAGCATAATGTGACGCCTAGTGATACTGTGTAACCGCGATGGGGATCAGAGTTCATTGATTTATGTATGTTGAACGTGGTCTCCATAGTGGAAGTGGACCACTGCTCCACTCGTTTTGATCCAGTGCAGCAGTTGCATATGAAGAGCGACCTGCTGTATATACGTGTGTACGCATACGTATCAATGTATACGTGTTTACACGTGGTACTCATACCACATCTGTGCATAACGCGTGGGCAGTATATTTTGTCGGTGCGTTGGACTCTGGCCGTGGAGGCAAAACAAAGGGAGAGGCGTCGAAGTGGCGCTGTCACGTGCGCGCTATGATGTTGCTGCAATTTCGGGACGCCCTAAGAGGAGAAGGAGCTGGCAACTCGGTGTGGTAGCCGTGTACATAGTGAACATATATGCTGATTAAGTAGTGTAGTCCATGCCAGCCTGACGAGATGACTGCGCCGCTCTTTTGCAAGGAGGGTTATTTATTTGCTAGGGGTTGTTACTTCGGTGGGCCTGAAGGAGTCGGCTACTCTGCGTGCTGTGTTGAAGTAGAAAGGGAAGCGGGGACGAGAGGAGACGAGTAGCAGATGCTGTGCCCTTAGTTCAACTGTAGACGATATTGGGGGCGTATACCTTTATGTACCTGTCTGTGTCGTTTTGCCTGCCTGTATGTTTGCTGCGAGATATGAGTGAAATGCCATCGATGTTATCGTTTCTCCTGTCTGCACAACTCGTCGACAGAGAGGCGAATAGTGTGTTTCAGCTGTGGCCACTACTTCCTTTAGGGAGATTTGGTAGCCGTGTTGGCCTTGCAGCCCTCGGAAAACTACAGCATAGCGGCAGCTGAGATTACATTGCCACATTTTAAGTGTCATCAAGGGGTGGTGTCGATTGTGCGGTCGTCGCGGGAAGGAATTGTTGCGTGAAGTGATGGTGCAACTTCGATCTGACATGTATGAATATCAACGCATGCATTCACATTTATGCATGTCGGGAAGTGCGCATGAAGCTGGCTACGGCTCACGAGCTTTACCGGCCCGCCAGTTTTGTTGAACACGATTTGCACGTCTCCGCCGTGCCTACCCCGCCCTTGGAACTCTTTTTATTTCGAGCGCATGCCAGTGCGTTAAGGTATCCGCAATCGCAGCAGCCTTCACGTTTGGCACGTACTAGCATTTGTTGCATGCCAGTGCTAGTTTGCCAGCAGCGACAGGAGACGTAAGCAGCACTGGGCGTTGTGGCGGCACGCTGTGGACTCAGCACTTTGCGCGGCGGTGGTACGCTGTGACCGTGGCCCAGCAAGCTTTGATCAGTGGCAGTTCCGCATTGGCCGGAGGAAGCCTGACGGTCTTTCGTGCTCTTGTTTATGGTTGAATGCACTGCGGTTCACGCAGTGGTGCGTGTGTCCCACGAGGCACATGCACCTGTGCCCGTCCGGAACTGACGTCGGGATCTTAACGCTGCACTCGCTACTCAACTGTTTCCCATTAATTGGAACGTTTAACTCGGCAGCTGCTTTTGGGCTGGCCGCAGAAACGACCTGGTGTGGACCCGGATGCCCTGCCTAGGGTCATTAGTTGATGGCATAGAAGTTACTACGTCGGTCCTACTGTAGTTACTAGAATATTTTCACCATTATCGGCGCTCTGTAACCACTTTGTCCATACCTGCGTAATTGGAGAGTATCTGTGGGGACTGATTAGCAGTGCCATCGAACTCTCATGATTAGCAGTGCCATCGAACTCTAGTGGGCTAGTGCCACATAGGGCAGACCCCAACAGCCTTTAGCCACCATTCACAAGATGAACACAAGATGAAGCGGTTCAAGAAATGACGCCAAGGATGTTTCCGTGCCAGGGCACGCAGTTGCGACGTGGGACTCTTGCATATGGTCCCGAGCGCTACATATTCCATGTCTAGCGCTCAGGGTATATGGCGGCATTCATCGACTCTCCATTCGTCCAATGAGGAGCGATAGCATCTCTTCTACCCGACCAAGTGGGACGCCGATGACGTTGTGTGGGCATCCCGAGATGCCTTTAATGTGCTTTGCCATTTCGCCCTTCTCAATTAGGAGGGCTCCTGCTGAATACATAACGTCGCCCTCTTCCAAAATGCGCCTTCGGGCCTCTTTGTCCATCTTGCTGAGAGCCACCTGGGATTGACAAGAGAACATCTCTCGCGAGTGGTAGTGATACGACTTTGGGCCCCCCGTGGAACACAAAATATCTGCTGCATGAACCACTGTATATGGGCAAGTGCAAGGGTCTGGGTCGTCACTTGGCTCTGTATACTGGAATTTGCTGCACGCTCTACATTTGTGCGGCAACTCTTTCTTTGCTGGCATCGGTGAATTCGGGTTCCTCGACTGCGCCTCCAGTTCATACACTAGGTCACAAAGAACAACACTGGTGGTCACGACTATTGGGGCATCTGCTTCTGAGTAACTCTCGAGAAAACTCGCAGCTTCCTCTTTATCTTTGGGTTTGAACAAAATTTTTCCCTTGAATTGAATCCCTGTGTCTACCGCCATCAAGACAGGCAGTCGTCCGTCCGCAGCCTCCAACGCCATACATGATTTCGTGAAGGACGCCAGCTGGGCTACTGCTGCCGCAGCTCGGCCGCTGCGTCTCGCCACTCTCTCCGCCTCCTGAAGAAGGGGCAGTCTCTCGGCTTCGGGGACGTTCAGAATTTGATTCTGCAGGCGGAGCTCCTGCAGGTGCTGCGTGTCCGGCATTTTAAGCGCTTGTATTGCTGCATCTGCTTTCAAATGGGCTATAAGTAGCGTTCGTGTGTCCGCCGTTACTTCAGGATGCTTTTCCTCCAGCCACGTCTGCACGTCGCCTTCGTCCAGCGGGACCGAGAAGGCCCCGATGGGAATTGCAGCCTTCGCGAAGAGCTCCCTCCGAAAGATGCTGGATGAAGCTAGCAACAAACTGCATTGTCTTGTTGCCATACGCATCAGATTCGGATATTCATCTGGTCGTGGATACTGATACGCAAACCCTTTCGTTGTGTGGTCTTCGGCGTTTTCTGCTGTCATGCTGCTGTGGTGGCTCGAGCGACTGGTTATCATGCGCTAAAAGGCCTTAGGCTAGAATAAGTCTACTTGGAGAGGAGGCGGAAAAATGCTGGCAGGCGCTTTGAGGCGCAGGAGTCTGCCAAGTATAATCGCCCGCCCTAGATAGCCCGAACCTTGGAGTTACGCCATAGACACGGATCTAATATCTTGAACATTGCGAAGTGATTCAAATGCATTCTATTGTCAGCATCAACACAAGAGGGTACGGGGCTGTGTCGACATACTTAATAGGACGAGGGCGTTTGGGGCTCAAGTTGGTATTCGAAGGACCATACACTGCAGTATGGCTTTGCTAGGACAGTTTGTGTTTTTGCCAATGCAAAAATTCAAGAAAGCTCGCATTTCGGTTTGATATTTTCCGTATAGGGATTAAGATATTCTTCAGGGTCCAACTAATGGATTCGTTTCGCTACTGAGGGCCCCACCGCCGCAAGGAGGCTCCACTGCGTTCAATTCATCAACATACGGAGGGAAGGTCAACGTTGTGAATGCGTACAGTATTTCTCCACTGATAGTATACGCAGCGAGTGCAAGCCTATGGGTAGAGGAAGTGCGGGGCGGCTCCCGAATTTCTGCCTCCGCCAGATCCGCGGTATTCATCCAGAGAACTAGTTACTCTGCAGTCTTCCCCGACCGTAACAGGCCTAGCCGAACTGCGATGCCTCAGCAGCTGCTTCAGCGATTGAGCTCAACCACGAGTCAATATTCACGGAGGTTGTACTGCGATTGCCACGCGATTTGACCATGGCAACGACAACAGCAGAGGCCCAACGGACGAAAAGCGTCGCAGGTGATGGCATCAAGCGGCGCAAGGGCACTCAGTTAAGTCAGCAAGGGAGGAAGCGTGTGACAAGTTTTGCGCAGAAGGCGCGCAGCCTGCATCGTCTTCTGGAACACCGAAAGGACGTAAGCTGTTTGGAGTACTGCACCAATGAGCTCCGTACGCTGATTGTGAACGGCGCTTTCCTATTGGTCTTTCTCTAATGATGCTACACATTTGGCTTGTGGTGCTCTGCTGTAGCTGCCAGAAGATGTGCAGGCAAAAATGCGTTCGGAGGCGGAGTCCCTTCAGCAGCTGCACAGGCAGCGCCTGAAAGAACTGAAGCGACAAAAGTTCATAAGGGCAAAAAAGGCCCTGTACTCCAAGCTAAAGTTTTTTGGTAAGCATGTCGGCGGTAGTTGACTGGTGCTAGGGTTTCTTCCTCGGAGTTCTATGCCAGAGTATCACCATGCCACTTTTCTTCTCAGCTTCGCAAGGCCTTATCTGCTGGTGCGGACGTGAACTTGCTCTTAACTGCAAAAAACATTTATCTGACAGTTTTTCTCCCTCGCTCACAACCCATTTGGAACAAGCTGCGGACTGTTCGACGTGATTGACGCAGAGCTGAAGAAGGTGCAGCGGCGGCTGCATCAAACTCGAAAAGAGTTGCTGGGCTTACTTTCGCAGCAAGAGAGAATGCGGTCCACAGCGACTCCTTCTGATAATAAGAACTCAGCCTTATCGGGAGCAACTCCTGAGACCGAAGAGTGGCAGGCGCTTGCTGAACGCATAGCGGACGCTCAGCGAAGACTGCGGCTACATCTTGATGATTTGAATTATATCCGAGTACTTAGAGCCACACGCACATGTGTAGAACCTAGAGATAGATTATGCGTTGCGTTTTAGAAGTTGCATGCAGTAAGCAACAGCAGCCGTAACTAGTGCGAGCTTGTGGACAGCTGCAGCGGCCAGGGGACCTGTCATTTCCTCCCCTTCGTTTCCGTAAGGGGGCTATGCATTGGCTGTCTGTTTGCAACCTGTGATGTGCTTTGGCTCAGTTATATCCTGTGGACGAGCCGTATGTTGCTCTTTTTCCCGGTGCGTCTGTCGAATAATACATAGATAGACGCCTGTGAATGTATACAAGTGCTGTTGTCTCGGTACGTCTTTCGTGCTCTATATTCTCACTTACGTGTTTTTTGCAGCAAAGCTGAAGTACCGCTGTGGTGCCAGTCAGATATGGCGTGCCCTGCTGTGGGTGGATCAAGTGTTGGGTGTGGCGCTTTTTTGTTTGCAGTCCAGGACACTGAAGATAGTCAGGAAAAGAGGAAGGCTATGCGGCTCCGCATTTTTCAGATGGTGAGAGGTGATAAGAAACCTACACCTCTGAGAATCAGGCAAACAGGGCTCCTAACGAAGGCGTAGAAAACGATGTAGGGACTTCTTCAGCGTAAAGAATTGATTGTTGAAGCATTGTGCTCGTGTGACGCACTGTGCTAGCAGTACGTGCCAGGAGTCCAGACTAACTTTGTGTTGTTTTCATCACAGCTCGTAGAAAGCCGCCAAGGTGAAGACGGGAAAAGTGATGATGAGCCAGGTGAGCAACTACATGTGCGTGGCCGTGCGCTTAAGTTCCGTTCTTCCTAATTCATGGTTAATTATTCCATCGCTTTCATTTTATATCTCGATCAGTTGTTTCGATGTGGAATCGCTTTCCATTTTGCGTAGATGTGTTAGAAGTGCCCGCCCAAATGGACTGATGCTGGCCGTATGACGCTGCTGCAAAGAGGCTGCAGCGCTCACAGCTGCACCATTGTTTCATTGTGTACGGAAGTCTTCGTCTCAGTGTGAAGTTCTTACAGACTGCTTTTGGCGTCGCAGTACAAAGACTGCAAAATGTTTAGATCTTGTTAACTGTTTCTCTGATGCGAGCAGGAGGAGATGATATGTTTGTGGATGTCCAAGGGGCTGCGGAGGACGAAGCAACCCTTGCGGATCCTTTTGAGGAAGCCCATCCTTTGTCTGACAACGAAAATGACAAGGGACGTGGAGGAGTACACAGACTTAAGAGTAAGGGCCCTCAGGCAAAGCCCACGAACCATCCACACGGCAACGCCCGAACGACTGGGAACGATGCAACGCGCAGGCAAGGGGATGAGCGAGCGGCTAAGGGGCCACGAGTGGGCAGCTGCGGCACGAGCAAGCAACACCTCACAAAACGTGGCCACAGGGCGGTAGACCGAAGCTCCACGCAGCAGAAGGCGTTTCAGCTCCACGAGCAGGTTTTTCAGCACAAACGACGCGACAAAGAGGGCTCAGGATGGAGCCCAAAAGAGATCCAGCAACAAAGGGATGGCGGATCGACAGCAGCTAGGAAAGGCATTACGAGCCAGCCAACACGAATTGGACTATCGAAACATAAGGCCCCAAATCAGCACCTTATGTTCGACTCCGATGAGGAATAGCTCTTTCGCGCCGTTTGAATACACGTGAATATGATGGTTACAGCTCATTCCTGCATCTGCAATGGCGGTCATCGCAATGAGTGTCTCTGGACTTACCAAGAAGACCTACTAACGGTTGACTCTTTTCATGCCTGCGCACCCTGTCGCATACATCCGTGTTTCGATAGTGATTTTTTGCATAGCAGGCAGTAAAGCTACGCCTCACTGTAGTTTAGTTGGCAAAGCTGCTGCCAGAAAGGCAGCGCAACGGAGACTGATTTCACTGTACATAACTGCTCTCCACTGGGAATCAACGGTGGGCTCCACCTGCTCTTGTTTTATGCGCTTGAGGAAGCGCTGTTCTTTCAAGACGTCAAGTTTTTTATTAAATAATAATAATAATATTAATACTTATTTGCTATTTGTAGAAGCGGCGTTTGTCTTCCGTGGGAACAGGTTGGTTAGACCACTCCCCGCGGCGATTGAGTCAGTTCCCATGGCCCATGTGGCGATGGGGACTGACTCAATCGCCGCCTTCCTTGTGAAGGTGTTGAAACCCTAAACTTACTTAAGATTGCAGATGGAATGGTTTCCGTGGATTGTAGTCGGCTGGACGGGCTTGGCGACCTCGTTTGCTCCCTTCAAAGTTCCAAGCCTGAGGACCTCCGCATAGCTATCATCAGAGTCGTGTATGGCATCTGCTCATACTGCTAGCATGCGACTAGCTATTGCGTGCACTGTGAGTTCGCTGTGGAGCGGCGACTTCATGTTTTCTTGCTCGTGAGAGCACTTGGCAGTCCCACTGGAGAGACTGCTGTCTTGTAGCAGTGATTGAGCAGGCAGTGTCTTAGCCGGCTTAGATAGATGCATAATTTTGATCAGTAGAGGGCATTTTCCAGTCCAAGGAGTAGTTTGTATGCGTTCCTTCGCCTCCGTGCTAAGACAGGTTAAGTTAGGAAGCACTGCGGTACCGAAAGGGTAGAAGTCCTCTCTGCTCTAGCGCCCCTTATGGGTGCATAAACCAGCAACGTTATGCTTTTTTTTTCTTGCGTGCATAATCATGATATAACCGCGAGCCAGCTTGTCGAGAGACATGACAGGATCGTCCGGGGGGGGCGGCAGGCGACTGCTGCTGGGGGCTTCTTGATGGGTTGAATGTTTGTGTTCCGTATTTGAACACATACTAGAGATTTTCTATCCCGTTAAACTCAATATCTGTTCACCGAGACTGGAATTGAAGCTGTCCTTACCCTTGAGCTCTGGCTCTACGTCTGCTGCACACATGCAGAGCGCTTCCAGAACGTGGATGTTTCTGAATATATGGGCTTAGATTTGCAACAGCTGATTTCCAGCTCATGCATTCATATTTTGTAAAGAATCAAGAGAATCCTCCAACCATATCCTTGCTAGCTTTCCTTGCAATCCACGACTGAAGCTGGTGCCTTTCCCGGAGGGGCCCCGTTTCCTGTTGCATCTCGAACCCCCCCGGACAAACACGCTGGTTATTTTCTGCTGTTTGTCATTGCTAGATAAATCATTTACATACACAGTGAGAGGCTGTCGGCCGTCTCCAACTTTGTTGCCCCCAAATATCGTTGCTTTTACAGGTGCAAAGAACTCAACTTGAAGGGAAGCATCAGTTTGAACAAATAAAGTACCGCAGGAAACGAAAACATCAGAGACATGCGCAGGCTCGAGAGAGCTTCTTGGTCTCGGTTTATGGGTGGACCGTGGCGGAACTAGGAAGAAGGCAACTCGCGGCACTGGACGACACTGCCCGCGCCTAACGCAGCCATAGGAGGCGTACCAAAAACGGCAAAAGTTGCGAAGAATAAAGCAGACGCAGCAAAAGTACTGCCGTGTAATTGTAGCAAGTACACACAAGCACATATGTGTGAGCAGCCGTTCTCTATCAAGGGTTGAACGTGGCGATTTTGCGTTTCGTTGCCAAGAGGAAGAGCTTGATTCCTTCTGCCACCCCTTCGCTCGGTGTTCCTCGTGCTTGTGCTAAGCATGATATGTAGCTACCTTCTGCACCAAACTCCTCTTTGAACGGCATTCTTGTGTGTTTTTATTCGCCTCAAATTCCGCCTACACGGGCCCTCCACTCTAAGCCGCGACAATGGCGTGTATGCTTATGAAATGCGAGACTAAAAGCAGCAGAGTGAAAGGCGTGGCCTTCCACCCGACGCTGCAGTGGTGCCTCACAGCGCTGCACAACGGTGCCATTCAACTCTGGGATTATCGGGTGGGCTCATTGGTTGACCGCTTCGAAGAGCATGAAGGTACGCATGTGGACGGTACCAGCAGAGATAGGGCAGTGGACACCAGCAGCTGTACAACAAAACGTGCTTGTAAATATGCGAAGTAGTATGATTCTTTCTATTTTACCCCTCAAAATGTCCCAGCGTAGAGCACTTTAGTTCGTCGTCGTCGTTATTGCAGGCATTTTTCAGTTTTGTGTCCTAGTTTTGGCACTTCTTGTGTGTGCTTTTCTCATTTCTACTCACATCCAGCTTCTCCTCTTCTTTTCTCTCCAAGCCGTGCGTCTTCTTGTCTGCGTTTTCATTCGCATTCCTTGTGGCTACCTTACATGCTTACCGATGCATTTGCTAACGTTTTTGCCTAGCTGCTCATTGAGTTTTAATGCGGCCACGTGTGTCCTTCACTTCAGTTATCTTCTTAGGATAGTTGTGTTTTGTGTTGCACAACTAGACCTTTCGCTGCACTTCGTTCTCGTAAGTTACTTGCTTTAACTTCAGGCCCAGTCCGTGGTGTTGATTTTCACTCGTCTCAGCCTCTTTTTGTGAGCGGAGGCGACGACTACCAAATAAAACTATGGAACCTAATACAGCGGAAATGCATATACACATTTACTGGCCATTTAGATTACATTCGTACAACGTTTTTCCATGACGTTTACCCGTGGATACTCTCCGCCTCAGACGATCAAACTGGTGCGTCCCCTTTGAAGTATCAACTTTGACTGAAAAGTTTTCACGGCAAACCCTGTATTAGCTAAAAATGTGTACCGCCAGCTCGTTAATACAGGCTCAGTAGTTCGAAAGCAATATAGTGAATGCATAGGCGGGTGTGCACTTATGCGTATGTGTTCAAAATAGCCACTGCTCGGATGACCACGTACGCAGTCAAATGAACAGATGTGTTCATGCTCTTTTCTGTGCTCTTTTCCGTGCCCGTTGCTTTTTCGTATGTCTTACTTCCAAGTGCTGTTCCGTTTATGGCGCGCTGCAGCACAATGTTTTCATCAGAACTACGCAGGAAGGCGCTGCTGCTCGCATGTGTACATATATGCGTAGGCGTTGCTGCCCAGTTCTATTGAGCCACTGCAAACTAGGAGGTATGTGTTGAATCTGGATTTTGTTTGTACGCAGTACGCATCTGGAACTGGCAGTCCCGCGTATGTATGGCCGTCTTGACGGGCCATACGCACTATGTGATGTGCGCTCGTTTTCACCCAACGGAGGATTTGGTGGTCTCCGCCTCGCTGGATCAGACTCTGCGACTGTGGGACACATCAGGGCTAAGAGAGCGATCTGGAGGGGTTGCGGGGGCGGTTGGGCGAAGCGGCAGTCGAAGCAGCGCTCATGGGGATATATTTGCTGCTACAGATGCTGTGTGTAAGTTTGTTCTTGAGGGGCACGAGAGAGGCGCCAACTGGGCAGCCTTCCATCCCTCCATGCCTCTCATCGCCTCGGCAGCTGATGACAAACTTATCAAACTTTGGCGGTAAGGACGATCAAATTATTAGAACAGGAACCGCAATACGCAGCTAGAGCGTGGGGGGGCAGGACGGGTTTAAAGTTGATGTATCATTTCACCAGAAACAGAAGTTTAACAGCCTCTATTTGTGGCTGTGGTGATGATTGATTCAAAACGCGAATATTGCTTCTTGGTTAGATCGAATGTTACGTTACAGTCGAATGGCCTGGTGTTTGAAATATGTTCGCCTTCCGCTCAACTTCTGGAGCGTATTTACAGGTACAACTCGGTGAAAGCTTGGGAGGTGGATACATTGCGTGGGCACAGCAACAACGTGTCTTGTTTGGTTTTCCACCCTCATCGAGACTTGCTGATTTCCGACTCTGAAGATAGAACAATAAGGGTCTGGGACGTATCGCGTAGAACGTGCCTTCACACATTCAGGCGAGATATGGATCGCTTCTGGGTGCTCGCTGCTCACCCGACATCGGGAGCCATTGCTGCAGGGCATGATGGAGGCATGGTGGTCTTTAAGTTGACAACAGAGAGGCCTCCTGCTTGCATGTGGACAGGGCACGAGCTGTTATATGTTTCGGAGAGAAGGCTCTGCTGGATAGACACCACAATGGTGTTGCACCAGGAGCAGCAGCAGCAACAAATGGAGGTGATGCTTACGGAAGTCAGGAGGCCTCCAAACGCTCTTGCCAATGGACCGAAACAACTTCTTGTAAATCCTTTGAACACGGGAGAAATCAACGCCGTCGTGGTCTATGTGAGTCGTCTGCCGTCCGTCTCACTTTGTTGCTGTTGCTACAAATATCAGGGCGTTTCGGCGTAGTTGATGCATCACTACGTAAAATAAGCGTGATGTGTTGTGTATTGCTGGCCTGCGTTCACTGTTCTCAGACAGAAGGTGACGGGCTTTCTTACGACTTTCTCTGTGGGCCGAGGGCAGACGGCCGGGGCCCTCCAGCAAGTGGTAGTCTCTCTCAAGTTGCACAGGTATGTTTGTTATCTTAAAATTTCTGGGTGCTATTCTACATGGGTTGAGGCTATGAACCACAACAGGGTTTCTCCGTCCGCCTGCTTATGTTTTTCAGTTTCACGTGACTGGATGGCTTTACCGAAGCAGATCCAGTGTTTTCACGTGCATGCGCCTGTGCATGGCTTTAAGTAAAGGTGCACTCCAGATCGTTTGCTTTAAGAAGTTTCAGTATGCCATTGCATATGGTACACTTGCACAATGGTGAACCTTCACCTGCTTGAGCACGTATTGCTGGGTGCAAACAGTTGCTCGTACGTAGTCCTAATGTTAACCACTGCGCACAGTGAATGAGGTTGCAGATATATAAACGTGTCCATATGCAGACGATACGGCGTACGCGTGCATGTTATTGTGGTACACGTTTGCATTATTTAGCACTACCTGTTTTATAGAGCGGGTTTATAGAGGCTACGTGTTTTCTTGTCGCAGTCGCAGAGGTGCTGACCTTGCGAATTTCGAGTGGTGTTTGCACTCTTGCTCCTAGGGTACTGGCTTATCTTTTGCCTTTATTGGTCGTAATAAACTGGCAATCTTGGAAAGCGCGCCGAACGGCAGTTGCCTGCGGGTGCAGACTGCTCCTTCTGTCTCATCCCTCTCAGCCCATGCGACGGCAGACGCAGGACGCATTGAACCCCTTCCAATTACCACTGACAAAATTTTCTTTGCAGGACCGAACAGGCTCATTCTTCTCGGTGAAGACAAGGTTAGTCAAAGACGAGGAACATTGACGCAATACAGGACAGTTTCCAATACCTAGTGATACAGTTAGACGGCACAGCTGAGAGAGGAGCCCGTACTCATGATTGCTCTTGCTTCTCACGAGAGTGTCAGTTGCTTGGTGTACGATGCGTGCTGCTGGCATTGGCTGCTGCCGCCAGTGATTCCTTCTGGCGCAGCAGATACATTCGTGTCGCTGTCGCTGCTGCCATTTGTGTCTAGCCATAGCATGCTCCACTGCTGTTACGAGGGACAAACACCGCGCTAGCGCGTGCGCGTAGCTCGGTTTTTGGCTCTTGCCCTTTATAGTCAGTGTAGTATGTTGGTCGTAGGTGGGGTCATTTCTGTTTTTTGTGCGCTGCAGTTGTATCTTTACGATATCCCGACGCGTCGGCTGTCTAGTCCCTTAACATTGAACATTGGGGGCCCTGTGAGGACAGTGACTTGGGCCCCTGATATGCACCACTTGGCGTTAACTTCAAAACATTCGGTGGTACTATTGCGGGCAAACTTCTCAGCTTTATCTTCGCTGTCAACCGGGCTAGCAGAGAAGGAAGTTCGAGAGTCAGAACCAGCCTTCAAGGTCCTTTCCTCGCTCCATGAGAATATCCGCGTCAAAGGGGGCGTGTGGGATCCCGAATTAGGTCAGCTAGGGCACAGAGCAGCCTGCGCAGTTGTCACATGCTGCCTGTTACGCGATAGCTTTGGTTGGGTTGTGGGCGTTTCGATTTTTTTTGCATCGTACCCTTCCAGCAGTCTTTAGCTTTTCTTTAGCCTTTGCGCACTGATGTTTCTGCTTGAATTTGGCTCTAGAGAGGGGGTGTTTGCGCCGGGAAGAAATTTCGCGCACGACCAGGAACTGTTTCCATTTCCTTTGGCATGTGTACTATTGCGTTTGTCTCTCTAGGTGGTTTCTTTTACGCCACCCTGTCCCACGTGAAGTTTTGCATGACGAACGGAGACAAAGGAATCGTGTGCAGCCTTTCAGAGTCAATCTACATAGTAACGTGCGCGTTGGTTCACTGCAGTGTGTCTTCCTTGTTCTTGGCCTCCAAGCACTGAATAGAGGCCAGCCGGCCACTTAAGTACAGCAGTAGCAATAACAGCAACTGAAGCGGCAGCAGCCACAGCAGCAGCAGCAACAGCAGCAGCAGCGTGCTTGGATGTAGGATTCCGTTGCGTACTTTAAGTCCCTTGACATCCATCCATTGGGGAACGCAAGCAGCGTCCCGGTTGTGCTGCACATATATCGGAGCTTCTTTCCGTGCGCTGATGGTATTGCTTCTTCTTCAGGGTGGCGCAGCAGCAGCTCTTGTATATGGACCGTCGCGCTCAGCTGCACTGCAAGCCAGTGGCATGCAATGACTATCTATTTAAGGTGGCTCTGAGTCGTCGAGACTATATGAAGGTGAGAAGAGCCTGCTGAGGAGAGTGTGAGCAGTTCTGTGCATGCTATGCTTCAGGCACTTTGTAGTCCCCTGAGTTTCCTAAGATGACAAATGAAGTTTCGTAGTCTCGTTTTCGTCTCAGGTCGCACTTTTGGTTCGCTATGGCGGCCTCTGTGGAAATTCGCTTATCGGTTATTTGAAAGAGAAAGGATACTCTGAAGTAGGGTCACTTCGCTGTGGTCGTTGCTGCAGCCTTCGGTCCTACTGCTGCTGTTGGCATTTCTAGTTTGGCGGTGCTGTCATTACGCTTGCATTTGCCAACATGAAGGGCGTAGCTGTGAGTGTTGTTGCTGCTGCTTATTCAGCGCACGTCAGTCTCGTTGCTTCTACCACGCGTGTACTGTGGACCTGAATATTTTGCTGCTGGTGTCTTGGGTGTTGTACTCTGCATACTCGTCGTTTTGCTCGCTATTCATATCTGAGCAAGTGGCCTTTGGTGTTTTACTTGTTGTTGTCAGGTTGCTCTTGAGTTCCTGTCCGATCGGAAGTCGAAGTTTTTGATGGCGTTGGAAGTTGGCCGGATGGATGAGGCTCTGGAAGCTGCGAAGGCTTTAAACGACAAAGTCGGTACTCCCATTTCTTGCGTTTCCCTGTGTTCACGGGATCATCGGCCCCCGCTGGAGTATTTCTTAGCGGCTGGATTTTTTTGATGCCTTTTTGTTCCATTACCAGCACTTCACCTCTTTTACTACCCTTCCTTTTGATGCATTTCTGTTCCATCACCAGCACATCACCTTTTAACTACCCTTTTGACCAGCAGCTGCTGCGGTTTTGGCACATTCTTGCTTTCTCTTTTCCAAAGCCTCTCTCTTCGAAACTCCTTACCAACTTATGGGGGCTTCTGAGCGAGAGACTTTTGCCAAGCGAGCACGTGTCAAGTGGGGGACCTCGTGCATACTTGTTACCTGTTTTTTTGGTGCAGGCAGGGTGGCGTCTTCTAGGGGACGCTGCGATGCAAGAAGGCTGTTTCGGGCTTGCGGAAATTTGCTTCCAGAAGCTGAAGGCTTTTGAGAAATTGTCATTTCTCTACTTGCTACTGGGCGATCGCACAAAGCTCAAAAAAATGCTGCACGTTTCCAAGCTGCTGCGCGAGCCTCTGCTGCGACAGCACCAAGCCTTATTGCTTGGCGATGCAGAAGAGAGAGTAGATGTCTTTATGGAAGCCCAGCAGCCGGGACTTGCGTATCTTTGTGCGAAGACACATGGCTTAGATGAACTAGCTGAACAGCTGAGGGGCTCTGTTGATGAGAAGGATGTCGAGGAGTTCCTACCGAAGAATCCTGTTGCACTGTTTCCGCCTGTGCCGATCATGAGGTGAATGCACATGAGAGTTTGACTAGAACTAGATAGAGGCTTCAGTTGTGGGTAGAGGCTTAACTTGGCAAATCCAAGCAGAATCTTCGTTCAGGCGTTTTTCTCAGTATGAGCACATATATTTACGTCGTCTATAAGTGTGGGCAGTACATGGCAGCTGTTGGGCTACGGTACATGAAGTTGGGTACTTTAGAGATGCGCGGTTTGTCTCGGGATTGCAACGTTTTGGTTTGTCGCATAGATTTGGGCCGGGAGAGACAGCGACGTGGAAGCCTGCGGCTGCAGGGGAAGTTTCTGCGTTTGCTGCGGCACTGCGGGCCGTTGATGAAATGGATCCCGAGACGGCGCGGCTGATGCTACATAGAGGCAGGCTCTACTACCGTCCCAAACCCCTCATCCCCTAGCAGTCAAAACGAGCCTTTTATCACTCCTGCTTGGTGAAGGAAGAAGTATAAATTCTTCGAGTGCATTGGGCTGGTGCTTCACGGCTTTAATGAAGTATTGCAGTGAATTCTAAGCTTCTCAAGAGTACACACGGGCATTTGGCGGGTGTAATCGTGCGTGACTCGACCGTCTCAGGCTTTGATACGGATGAACCGGATGCGTCAGCGCAAGTTATGTGCGGAAAGGCAAGGGATTGGGGAGAAGGTGGCGTGGTCGGCAGTGATGAGGGGGAGGACTTTGCTTCTCTTGGCGCAGCCGCAGAAGGAGAATGGAAAGATGCAATTGACATTGGAGTAGAAGATGATGCGGCTGTATCCGGCGCTGCTGGTGCATGGAAGGTTCATGGAGCTATAAATGGGAAGTCTGGAGAGACCTATGCGGAAGCACCAGGCGCAGATCCTACAGTTGCATGGAGGCAGAACCCCATCCCGTCAGATCTTGTTGTAGCAGGTGATACGATTGCGCACTCTTATCCAGACGAGCTTATTCGTTCTAGTGTTTCTATGATACACTTTTTCATTAACTCGGTTGCTTCAAGCTTCATTTACTGGGCTCAGCTTCCCGGTGTAGTTGGTCTTCAGTTTCCCTTGCCGTGTGGTATCTCGTGTCAGCTTGTCTTTCTTATATCACATTGGGACTGTCAGTATGTGCAGATCCATAGGTTGCATGAAAACTGTGAGCTGTACGTATGTTTGTGCTCTGAAGGGGACTTCACTGGGGCTATCCAAATGTTGCGACGTCGTCTTGGCCTTCTGCGTGTTGCTCCACTTGAACCGATATTCCAGAGAGTATATGAATCTAGCTGGGCTCAGCTAAAGGGGCATTCCCTCGCCCCTCCTTTGCAGTTGCCTCTTGTAGGTGGAAAGCCTTACAGGGCAGCTGACCCTCCTCGCGTTGTAAACAGCGCGCTTCTTCTCACGCAGGTTAGAGAAGCACACAAACTGGTTACAGGTGCGTCAGCATTTTTGATATGGTTTGGATCTCTCCTTTGCTTTTCTGTTGAATTGCATGACTAGTTTGCGTGTTCTTATCGGAAGTTTTGCATGTTGTGTATCAGGCGGAAAGTTTGCGGAAGCACTCACTGCCTTTCGACAGGCCCTTCTGGCACTTACACTCGCAGTAGCACAAAACCAAGAAGAGGAGCAGCAGGTGCACTCTCAGGCTGCATAGTTCTGTGGATGCAGCACCAGCCCGCCAGCTCGCTACCTGCACTCTTTGCTGCTGAGTTGCGCACTTTGGGTTACATCCAATTTTCTCCCAGCGCTTCAGTGTTCCGTGAACGCTTGAGCTGTGTATGCTTGCTGTTTTTACTGTTTCAGTTGTTGGAAATGCTGGACATATGTAGAACTTACATAATCGGCATGAGGCTCGAAACGTCACGATTGATGCTGGGAGAATCTGATGCACAAAGAAGTCCGCCCATTCTCTGCTGTCTGGAGCAGTTGTGCATCCCAATGTTGCTCAGTTGCTTGCCAAGAAGTTGATAGCGTCTCGCGCGTGCCCTTTAGGATCAAAACCTACGTAGTTTGAGCGCCCAGTCACCGATTGCTTGACTTTCCATCTCAGCTCGATCGATTTGATATGTGTTGCTTGTCACATGTAGACGCCGCGTGCCCTTGCGTTGCTTGCAGACCTGGAGCTTGTCGCTTATTTCAGTTGCTGCCGCTTGCAGCCATCTCACTCCTTCCTTGTCCTCCGTCGAGCAATGAGCGTAGCTTGGAAGGCTCAAAACTTCATAACAGCCGCTTCCGTATGTCTGCATCCTTGACGGGGGCACGAATTTTTCCCTGTGGAATTCCTGACAAGCACTGAGGCTGCTATTCGCGCCAGTCCCCACCCAAAAAAATTCTAATTTATCGTGTTTTGGAGGCTTTTTGTGCAGTTCGCTCGCCGGCTGCTCTCTGGGACGTACTCGGGCTTAAAAGGTGCACCAGAAGAACTGGCGAAGGCAAAAAGAGTCCTTCTGCTTTGCGAGCAGAAAGGAACAGACGCTATAAACATAAATTATGAGCCCGGAGAAGCAGGTACGCCGCTAAAAACACTGCAGATTAGGCAATATTCGACGCGACCGGCGCAAACGCTAAGCTCAAATCAGTGGTGATATTGGTGTGACCGACACAGTGCAACTTTAGCCGCCCTGTTTCCGTGTCTGCAGAAAACATTCTTCTTTGCACGTCAACAATGACGCGGTTGAACCCAGGCACTCCAGTTGTTCGTTGCGGTTTTTGTGGAGCAGTGGCCCAGCAACAGCTGCAGGGTTCACTTTGTAGAGTGTGTGAAATTGCAGAGCTAGGAGCCAGAGTAAGCAAGGGGGAAACCAAAATCCCATTATCTAATTACACTTGGCATTTAGATCGCCATTGCCTGGTCAGCTGCTTTGATATAAAACTACGCACACAGCTGCATGCGCTACGTGGAGGCATGAGTTCCCGTTGTCTCTTCACAATGTTCTTCTGCTGCTGTTCTCAGGTGGTTGGCATTCAGTTCCTCCCAGTAGTGTAACCTGCATCGTAACCGTTTTACCAACTCGGAAATTGCAAAAGCCTTTGTATTTAAGTGTTCTGCATAAAAACTTTGCACTCTTTGTAGCAAGCATTTAATATTACTGAGGTTTGTTAATTTCAGTTCATTGGTAGAACACAGCATCGAAATATACCTATCGCTCTAGACTGAGGACAGTTCCTGCTACGTAGCGTGCAGATGTGGATATCGGGGCATGCTGTACCTCACGGTGCAAAAGGATTTGTAGCTTGCTTTGAGGTTGAAGGAAAGCCAGCTTCTTTTGGAAAAATAGTGGCGTTTTGACTTCCACCAGTTGTTAAGTAGGCGTTAGAACTCCCGTTGTTCGGCCCAATTGTAAATTGAGGCGAGTTGCTCGCTAGATTTCTGCTACAAGTCTGTTTTTGGTAAGAGGCAACTTGGGCTCCAGATGCCCCCTGTTCAGTGGCGTTTCATTGTGGTGGTGGGAGTAATCTCGCCTCACTACAAAGTATCAAAAGTATAACAGGACGTTCCAGCACGCCGCTGTCTAAGGGAAAGTAGCGAGCAAACAAGCTATGGGCGACCACATCCCAATGGACGGTTTTGCTTTGCTAAAGACAGTCGTCGTCCGGCAAGGCCTTACCGTTTCCCGCGTTTGGTAGATCGAAGCCTGTGCACCGGCCCCCTTGACTGGGTGGCTGAGCTCAAGGGTTCGGCTTCCCTACGCGCAGCAACAGGCGCATCAGCCGGAGCTGCACGCCCGTGTAAACACAGGCCGACGGAAAGCGGTCACAGAGAGCAGTAATTTAGTACCTCTGAGAAATCGATGCGCTGTGGTCCTCACACAGCACAAGCAATTGGGCATGTGAAGAGAATACTCGCGCTTCTGTGGTTCCAGGCTGGATTTCATCTAAAACAAAGGGCGGCACACTGTTTCCATGAACTCCACAGCTGCTGCCTCGCGCAGACCATGATCTTTTGAACCCAGCCAGCGGGTCAGCTACGAGAGGTGTATGTGTATACATGCACGCTTGCAGAGTCCAAATGCTGTAAGGACCCAAGGCGGTAGATGGGAGTAGTAGTGCGCCTTCCATCCATGCACTGTTCTCTTTTCATGGGACAAAGAAGGCAGATCCGCAGTGGCTGATGGAGATCCTCAAAAACTGAGCGCCTTCAGAGCCTAATACCTGAAGCGTTTCGTGTTTGCCGCGTGCATTGCCTCGGACCGTCCCGTGTAGGAGCTTGTACGGCTGCTTTCAGAGATTGATCGGGGCAACCCGGCTTCTACGGAAGGGTCTGCATCCATTTCATTTTGCGCTTGACCCTCTACTCCATGTAGGCGGGTGACACGCCACTTCCACTTTTTTTCTGTCGTGCTCCAGTCAGCTATTGCCTCGTGATCTGGCCCAAGGTCCCCTGCAAGTTCAGGTATTGACATACAAACGACATGCCACGAGATGGTCAAACCAGCAATGAACATAATGCAGGTGTTTCAAGTATTGCAGAAACTGCACATTTTTTTGAGCGAGACGCCGTGACGAGCAAGGGGGAGGATGCAAGAATGTGCTGTGCTGTGGGTGGGAGCGAACCGTTAAGCAGCATCACAGAGAGGTCCGAAACGATGTGTTTCTCTAAATATCTTTTGAGGGGTCGTGCCCCAAATGCTGGATCGAACGCCTCTTCTAGTGCATGCTCCAGCGCTCTGTCAGTTAGTTGCAAGTCTATACGTTTTTCGCGGAGGCGCTGACGGACCTCATCCACTTGCAGCCGCATCACCTGCACCGCCCCACGCTCGTTGAACAAGAATATATGAAATGAGTCCCGATTATGGGCAGAAGAGCACTAAACAGAGGTAACCGTTTATATATATCTGTCAGGGTTACAATTGCACGCCAAAGCGTATAGGCCTCGAAATACAGCATTTGAAGCATTCAAACGCTACCAGTGGAGCACGGTCCATCCTGCTGAGAGCCTCAGCTAAGGTGATATTGCATTCACGGACCTCCTTTAGGTCCGTATCACTGAGCGCTTTAAATGCCACGATGTCGTCCAGGCGGTTGAGCAACTCGGGTCTAAATATATGTCGCACTTCCTTCATCACCTTTGTGAAAGCTTCAGCAAACGCCTCCTCAGCCTTTTCTGGACCTGAATTTCATAAAGAACACCATATCAGTTACGCATCACGAAGACTACGAGACGCAGTCAGGCAGGTATGAGCATTCCCCCCAGTTTGAGGATATTGACGTGGCTATTTCGGAGCAAAAACTCGCAGTCAGAATGGCGGCACCAATGTATGGCCATTCTAACTCTGCAACAGATTACACCAGAGACTTTGCATTGGTGAAGCAAGTGAAGCAACTGATTTAGCCAGAACTAGGGATGCCTGCATATCGAAGAGATAGGAAAGAATCCATACCGGCCACAGAATTCTCAGCCGCTGCTAGAAGATGATGGGCGCCTATGTTTGAAGTGAGAATTAGCAAACAGTTGGAAAAGTCCACAGTCCGGCCTTGAGAATCAGTGAGGCGACCTTCATCAAGGACTTGCAGTAGAACATTCCAGACCTGACAACAGATACTCGAGCTCTACAGTTTTGAGTTTCACGCAGTCGCTAGCATTCAGCCCTTCGGATAAGTCTGCTGTAGACGCGAACAGTAGCACCACACCTACACCGCACTGCTCTCGGGAACACCACTAGTGACTGGGTCTCTTGGTGTCCGCCGACAGCGCGCTTCTAATGTTCCCGCAGCTTGCCCTTGACCTCACTTGGTGATGAGCCTTCTCCACTTCATCAAGTAATACTACTGAATAGGGGTTGCGCCGGACTGCCTCAGTGAGCTGGCCTCCTTCCTCATGGCCAACGTAACCCGGCGGGGCCCCGATAAGGCGAGCGACAGAATGAGACTCCATGTACTCTGACATGTCCAAGCGTACTATGCGTTCTTTTGTGTCGAACAGCTCTTCAGCCACAGCTTTGCACAATTCCGTTTTCCCGACTCCGGTCTATGCCATAGTGCATTGGCAAAAAAATTCACACCAATGCACTACTGCAAAAGCTGCGGCCAACCTTTCTGGAAGATTGTAGGAGAATCAAAGCAATGCCAACCATGTCATTGATGGAAATTGGCCACCAGAGAGGTGTTAAAAGAGGAGTTTCATGAGGTTTAGAGACAACAACTCACGGGACCTAAAAAGAGGAAGCTTCCTATTGGCTTGTTACGTCTGGCGAGCCCTGCTGCTGACCTCAAGATTGACTCAGATACGGCAGTAACAGCTGCAATCTGCCCAACGACACGCCTAGAGAGTTTTTCTTTGAGTTGCAAAAGCCGTTCTTTTTCTGTTTGTGTCAGCTTTTGCACCGGGATGTTTGTCCAACGGTGCACAACGTCAGCTATCTGCTCTGGGCCAACAACCTGCGCCACAACAATAAGCACGCAATCGTAGCCCCGTTAGTTCCCCTCAACCTACCCCGCTCATGCACAGAAAAGATGGCAAATAATCGAAAATACAAAGAATTTGCGGCCACCGCTGCAAAAGCTTGTAGGGCTTATTGCTGCAGCGGCGCACTACGTCTTGCCTGCTTCACATTTCCCGTGTTCTACTCATATCTGTCCGAGCAAGTACATCATATTACACTGCAAAGTGGTACCTCTGTCAAAAGCGGTTTGTGTGTCTTTTCATACGTCTCCTGCTCTTTTCGCAGCTCCGTGAGACGCTTCTGCAGTCCAGGCAGCGCGTCGTACCGGAGCTCTGCGACGAGATCCATCTGACCAAGCCTCTCTGCCTTCTCAATTTTTGCCTTCAGCTCGTCTTCCTTCAATGCAAGCTGCCGCAATTCATCAAGAGTCTCTTTTTCGCGGGTGTACTGGAGCTGGAGCGGCTTCAGTGTTTCCCTGTGTTTTGCAATCTCTTGTCGGACCTCATTTAGGCGTTCTTGCGAAGCAGCGTCGCTTTCCTTTGCCAACGCCGTTGCCTCAACCTCTAATGAGAAATAAAGAATACGCATTCACAGACTGACCAAAGAGAAAAGTTCACCTTCTTAAAGATGTGCACCTCGAAATGATCTAAATATGGTAGGGGAGCGTTGCAAATAAGAAAGCTATCTTCATACATACCCATACTCTAATTATGTGCACGACGGAAGCTGAAGCAACCGTACCCAGCTGAAATATCAGTCGCTCGAGGCGGTCCATAATTTCTGGCTTGCTATCAACCTGAACGCGGGCGATCGCGCAGGCTTCGTCCATGAGATCTATGGCCTTATCGGGTAAGAATCTGGAAGTAATGTAGCGATCCTGCGTGATAAGCGCACGGGAAGCACTGCCATGAAGCATATCTGCCTGTGCATATACCCGGATAACAAGGGTTCTTCTCGCGCGCGTTTCCTCACTGATCCCTCGAAAACGAAGCATGCTGTCAAAGTGGAGCCATGGCGACTCTTCAAATGAAAGGAAGGAAGTGCCACTTCACAGTGAACGTTTACCGCCAGTTGAGCTGCTTCTACAAGGGCACTGTCCAGAATCCTAACTCCGTGATGTGCAGCGTAGCGATCTTTCAAACCTCGAAGGATGGATATCGTCGCGGAGACAGAAGGCTCGTGAACATGCACTTGCTGGAAACGTCTCTCAAACGCAGCGTCCTTCTCCACGTGCTTTCGGTACTCATCAAGGGTCGTTGCACCAATGCAGCGGAGCTCTCCCCTGCAATAAAAAGGGCAACGAGCACAGGGGCCTATGCGTCTCAAGTAACCCAGCTTGTTTTCTGATTATCGTTCTTCACTACTTATGCCAAGCTCGCTGTGTTAGTCCTAAATTGCACGAAATAAGGATGAAGACGAGACTGGGACACCGATCAAGCATATACAAAAATCCTGGATAGTTCTGCCAGCATCTTACTCCGTGCAGCAGCTGATACGTGCAGCAACCCACGCTTAGGAAAAATCTACATTATGTAGAAAGAAGACAAATTTGTCTTAAAAGGTACGATCTCATGTACCTAGCGAGCATCGGCTTCAAAAGATTAGCGGCATCCATAGCACCATCTGTCTTGCCCGCACCCATGACCATATGTATTTCGTCAATGAAAAGGATAACCGAGCCTTCCGCATTCTTAACCTCCATTAGAACTGCTTTAAGACGTTCCTCGAATTCCCCCCGGTACTTCGCACCCGATATGAGGGCTCCCAAGTCGAGCGATATCACTCGGCAGCGCAATGAGGACGGCACATCCCCCTCAACAACACGTCTGGCAAGCCCCTCCACGATTGCAGACTTTCCCACACCTGGGAAGAATTCATACAGTTCAACCTGAAAGATGTATACTCTGTGGCTGTTGGGCTAGCAACATAGCGAAGCTGGCAGGGCATGCCTAGACTTGCCTGGCTCGCCAATTAAGACTGGGTTGTTCTTTGTTCTCCTGCAAAGAATGCGGATTACCCTTCTAATTTCCTCATCCCTGCCAATAACAGGGTCCAGCTTCCCCTGTTCCGCCAAGTCAGTGAAATCTATTCCATACTTCGTGAGAGCATCAAAGTTTTGGTCGGCCGCGTCTCCCGTTACTCGCGCTCCTGCTCGGAGCTTCATACAAACTTCCTTTATTTTCTTGTAGTCACAGCCAGCTTGCTGAAGTACGTGTTTAATTGTGCGGTTTTCGCACACTGCCAACAACAAATGGTCCACCGCCAGGTGAGTGTCCTCTGCAAGAAAAGCATCAAAACAGTCAGCTCGTTCGGTCGCTAAATGTCAAAGTTTATTCGAGGAAGGAAGAAATCGGCAGAGGCCACGATGGCGTATTCCGCAGTGTGGCACGGCTCAATCCCTCACAGGGCACTGGGCAAAACAGCAAGCTCGGGTGAAGCCTCTAAGTAAGTTTAGGTTTCTAGAAACTTGTGCGTCGGGCGCACTCATTTCAGTTTGGATGGTTTTAGCTTGACGAAATACTGCAGTGCACGCATGGTTCGGTCCAATATACTGAGGTGGAGGGTTCTGAGCTGGGAACTTCGAAATCTCCAAATCTACTTGTTCATGAAGGAGAGTCAGATCTGTCCCGACCTTCCGCAGGGCCTGGGTAGGAAGCTGCTGCGGATCTTGCAATAGGGCGGACAAAAGATGAACGGGGTCAATTTGTGGAGCTCCACGCTCCCTGCATATCTCCTGCGCAGCTGCGTAAACCTTGCGCACGAGCCCAGTCCACTGAGCCGGATCCATCTTCTGCTTGCACAAGATGTCGTGAACTTTAGTCCTCTATGTTACAACCTTTCCTATTAGTTTCACGGCGAGGCACAGTTTGTGCAGTTACAATGACTGGTCAAACGAAATCGCCGAAATTTCCTGATAGTGGAGTTGAGTCGGACGAGAATGCTGCTCAGCGTGTGTGGGTGAACCTTCTTAAAGAACCAAGGAGCTTGCCTTTAACTGTAAATCAATTTGGTAGGAACTTCGAAAAATAATTAATGAGATGTTTCTATTGGCCGCCGCCACCAGCCGATTATGCTTGTGAACCTTAGCTGAACCACTGGCAGTCATGTGAGTGTGGAACGAGCATGCTACCTCAATCAGGCCCAAAGCTGGCACACGGTAGATGCAGCTTTAATACAAAAGAGTTGCAGCAAAGTCACTTATTTATGCTGGGAATACATTGTTTCAGTCACTTGGTGGCAAGTAAGCGCTGATGTTCAGCTATGTAATTGAAGTGGGTCGCCGTTCCACTTTGCAAGCTACTGCTGAGCCTGGGTTGCATTTAGATTCCTTTCAGGTTTGTGAACCCCTCTGCTGAAAGGCTCACTATGAAAGCCAACGCCAGTCCCAATAGCCTGCAAGGGGATTCACTGAAAGAGCAAAGTTTGCGCTTCCTCTAGCGCGTCTCACCCAATTGCTGGTCACCTTGCAACCAGTTATACTTACGGCCCTGTGAAAGCTGAGTTCCCTGGACAAGTGCTATGAACATCAAGTCCTCATTTAAATCGGAAAGTTATGTGATTCTTAACGCTGTTTCACGTAATGTGCTTGGCGTCATGTATTGCAATTTCCGCAGCAGCCTGGCCAAAGCGCTCTTGCGGAACTCCAGAGGGTTAGTATACAGCAAAATCTTACAATAATATGAACTTAAGACGTGTAGAGTTACAGGGACCTTTGTCCAAGCTGCAGTCCGATGCTATCTGAGGTGTTGCAAGCCTTCCTATTCATACAGGTGTATATAGCCCCTGATGAGCTCAAAGTGCTATTGACACATTGCTCACTGGCAGCTAACTCTACAATGACGCGGGCATGAGACGGAAGACAAACGCTGAGGCACACACCGGAAAGTTGCGTCTCTCTTCAGCGACAGGCAGAGTCTAAGAGTAGCATGAGCAAGCAGCCTCTGGTCGGGAGGTTCTGTCGCAGGCCACGGGTGTAAAAGTTCCTGCATCTAGCTTCTAGATCTGTTCTCTTCAAGACAATAATATGCCATAATTCCTGCTTTATGAAATACTCTGGAAAAACGCATACACGTCGGACTTTGCAGTTTGGCGAAAGCGGCGCATGTCTGGCTCACGTTGAAGACTGCACTGGTAATTCCAGCTCATTCACGAATTGGAGCGCTTGGTGGTAGCTAGAGAGCATTTCTTGTTTCCAGCCCTATGGGTGCTGCATGGAGTCCCGGCGCATTGGAAACCAGGACTTCCGTACCACAGGATGCCTCAGGTGCAGAAGCTCTATGGCTGCTTTGAAGCTTTTCAAAAGCCTAGCCGCTGAGCCCTTTGGCACAGGCATTCTGGCAAAGGAAAGCCGAAAAGTTGGTGGCTCTACTTTGGAGGCAGCTCACTTCTGATTATAGCTGTCACAAGCGTGAAGGAAAGACCCACCCCATCGTAGACCGTTGGGGACATGAACGCCACTGGACGTGCTGCAATCCAGTGCGAACACTCTAAATTGAACTGAGCTGGGTAGGGAGGGCCCTTTGGCTGCCAAAGAATTGTCAGAGCTTTGTCTTCTTCGACTCCGTCTCGCCGCCATCTTCCATGGACAAGGTGCAGTGCTGGAAGACAGGGCCAAATCTACTGCAGTTCCCATATGTTTCAGAGTCTCAAGAGCTACTCTCTGTCTAAAATATGCGGCGGCTAGTGGGTTGTGCAAGTTCAAGAACATAAAACTGCGCGACTTGTATCTGTAGACAACGTCAACAAGCGTGCGCCATGCTACCACGGCAACCTGTTGAAATGCACAAAATCTGATATGCCGTGTCCCACAAACTAGTAGGTCCTGGGATGTGCAGTGAAAACCCTATCATGCATGTGCGGCCGTTTGACGCGGAGAGAAGGTATTGCTTCTAATTAATCGTCTTTCGGTCCTTAATTCCAATTAAGAGACGCATACGACGGCACTGCCCACTTAGTTACATTTGCTGATACTGCAAGTGCAGTTGTATGCAGTGACTGTGCAGTGGCTACTTTTCCGTGTATGCAACAACTGTGCAAAGTTTGAATACTAGAAAACGCAAAAAATCCTTTTTTCTTAGCAAGGAGACGACTCCGTGTTTCTGTGTCCCTTCTGAAAAAACAGCGACGTGTTCTTGCCAGATTTGAACGTATGCCGTGGGTTTAGACTGACATGCTGGGGTGTCCTGCAGCGAGGAAGTAACATGCCTTCTGTTATTCTCCTCCTCAGGGAGGGATGATCCAACGGCAACACTGCTCCAAGCATCCTTAAGAATAGGAGAAAGCTCTGCAGAAGGCATCCAACACAGAAATACTTAGGGAGCTACTGGGCTGAATATGATGCAAAATACAGCCGGTTCTATACAGCACATGGCGAGAGCCTTGTGGGGCTGTGAGCGACCGGTCCTCGTAGATGGGCATCAATTCCCTTCAGCTGGTCTCAAGATGGCTGGGCTTTTTGCCCTTACCTCTTTCTGATATTCTGCCTTTACAACATAGTGCGGAAGCAGTGTATGTGACCTAAAGAGACTTACGCGCCAAGTAGGCGAGGCGTCGACAAGTGCTTGCGCATTGCCAATGATTATGAGGCCTCCGCTAGCCCTAGATAATGCAACATTAATCCGTCGCGGGTCAAACAGGAAGAATTCATGGTCACTCTGCAAAAAATCAGCATTCGGTAACTTGACGGGAAAGCTGATAAAAAGAAAGCAACTATTCGGCGAATTTTCAGAGGAAAAGGCCATAAGAGAAAACGCTAGCAAATCTGAAAAAGAGAAGACAGAGGTCGAGCAACCTAGCACACAATTCAGACTCAGCGGTTAACAAACATGCATGCGCATGACACGCCCCCACACACTCATGTTGGTGTTATTTCTAGTTATTGCCAACACACAGCAACTGTAAGGGCCTTGAGCTGCTAAAGTGCATACCCTACGAAACCCCTTGACAGCAGAGAGGATGACGTATTTTCTCTCATGGCCCTGAAATCCATCAACAGTAAAGACCTGCGGGTGTGGGCGGCATCTCTCATCTAGCACGTCGAGAGCCTGCGAAGCGCACAAGTCCTACATCAGATGAGCGGGAAAGCCCCTCATGCAAGTTTCAATAATTACATAAAATGTCACCGCCAATTTTATTCAGTCTTATCTAAAGAGGGCCAGTAACAAGGCCTGCCAGCCACAACATTCAATACTATGGCCTCTGCAAATGTAGTTCTCACAGGCTGAACAAAGCATAATCGACCTGAACGCCTTGAAGGCTTCTGGGCGCCATCCAGCTGCTCCTAAATCGCAAGCATACAACTTTCACAGTGAACTCCATTGTGACTCATGCAATCAGTAACACTTGCAGTCACAGACGGGGGACATGACTTTCACAGCAAACTCCATTGTTAATCATGCAATCAGTAACACTTACCGCAGGGTGCAGAATCCGTGAAAGGAGCTGCGCTTGCGCCTGGTACGGAGTAAGCACTGCTATTTCTGCTTTTGAGGCACCGCAACTGAGCAACGTTTCCACGCATCTGTAAACCAAAAAAGCCTCTCTGAGGAGAAACATGCATCAAAGAAATGCACAAAAACTACTATATTCATTTAATCTCTTTACCTTTGAACGAGTCAGTAAAGACCACACAGTCCACCTAAAATAAAAGGACAGCACGATACACTCAACACAGATAATGCACCCAATGCAAGCCTCGTAAGCGATGCCAATGCTAGACACTAGTACATATGATGCACCAAAATATTACGTAGGAAGGCAATACTGTGGCAACGAATACTGACAGAGGATTCTGCAGAGAGCCTTTCACGCGTTGTTCCGCAGGTAGACTCTTCATAAGTGGCCTGCATCCTTCTGTGGGACTTCCTGGAGAGGTTGCAGCGGTAGAGCTGAGGGCTGCAGCTGCTAACTCCGTGGTCAAGACGGGTAGCTCAATCGTGGCCAACATGCCTGTCGGGCCTGACGCCCAAAGTGAGGTATCTACAAAAAGAACAGGGAGAACTTCCGGAATCGCATGGTAAGGCGGATTTTGTGACCAACAGGTTGCCGGGCCTGCAGGCCCTGAAGACAAGAACTCTGTGTCCATTTGCTCCAAAAGCTTTTTGGCCAGATCCTTATCACCTTCGCTGCCATCAGGCCACGGAAAATTATGTTCGTGGTTGCTGTTGTCCACCTTTAAGAATTGAGTGTCATTCGCAGGATTGCTTCCGGCAAACACCTCACACTGAGCCAGACCTATAACGTCGTAGAAGTTTCGGCTCTCGACTTTGGTGGCATCTGGTGGGGCTAGCGGGCCATCAGAAAATCCCGACAGAGAGGTTGAGTCAGCGGCTGCGCGCTGCCCCTCTTGCTTTTGCTCGTTTTCAGGTCGGTTTGGGGGCTTGTGCGGCAGCAACGTTGAGCCCAAACGCCCAGGATGAGTGAGAAGCATGCCCTCATAAAAGTGAGCAGATATGAAAGCAGCGAGAAGGGGAGGCATCCGAAATTGGAGATTAAGGAGTACCGACCTGCATGCGCCACCTGCAAGTTCAACCAAAACGCAAATCATGATCCTCTTCTGCGCTTCGCCTTGATATACCAAAGAACGAAAACAACTGCAAACGCCTAGAAACAGAGACTCATCCTGACCCTTAAGAGCGCTAAATAGAGAACGAGGGGACGAAGATGGAGGCAGAGCAGACGCCGGTGGTAGCTGCCTCTCATCGCCGATCAACACCACCAAGTCCGTGCCATTTACCAATGCCCCAAGGCCTGCAAACTCTGCGAAAAAAACGAATTTCGCCAAAACTTGCATTCTTAGGCAGTAAGAGGAGCGTACACCTAGAAAGGAAGAGTCGGGCGTAGTGCAAAGGCAGCAGCTCATCAAGGAAAAAAGATGAAAAAATCCAAATGTACTGTGCTGCTACAGCAAAAATATGAAAGCCAGAGGCACGTATTTTGGGCAAGCTCAGTCATCTCAAATGGGAAAAGCGGCTCGCAAACTGTTTGACCCGAAGTTAACCCTGACATATTTTGAATAAGGCGAGTTTTGTTGAAGTGGGTTTAGGGCCTAGGGCAAACAGGCTATAAGAAACCTTGCACTGAAGTTACAAAAATAGGGGCACGATAAACTGCCTATGAGAATTAGATATCCATAGGCACTAATTAGATATAGAAGTGCAACAAGCTATCCATAATGAGTAGTCAGTACCAATACAGCACAATAAAGGCTCGAGGTAGAAAAATTGCGAGGTTGGCGAGGATATTGAAGAGCTGCCACTCAAGAAATTTGCAGAAAGCGAGAAATAGACGGAGTCCAAATAGTCTGCGCGACATTGAAGAGACTGCTGGAAGAACGTACCTGTGAGTTGGGAGCTTTCATCCACGAGAACCCGACGAGGCCGCAAGTTTAGCTTTGCCAGTCGATGGCCCTTCAGACGCCGCAGCACAGCAACTGCAAAGGCATCCTTATTATAGCCAGCATCGACTTGCGCATTCAAACTTCCACTTCATCCAGTAAGGTGTGCCAGGGTGCGGCTACAGCCTCACGAATAAATAGCAGTGGTAGCAGCGAAAACAGCAGCTCACCTGGTAGACTGTGTCCAAAAGCACCAGTGCCTGCACACCCACAATGCGCCGCTACAGTGCTCCAATGCTGGCTGGCCCTTCCAAGACCAGTACACAGAACAACAAGAGCTCAATCGTTTTTAGTATTTGCCTCAGGTTGCCAGCTTGAAATGGAGGGCAAATTCTAGCGGGAAGAGCTTACTTTCTGTGTGGCGCTAGGAGTCTCTAACGCAGCGACCACCGAGACTTCATCAGAAAGTCGAACTGTGCGTACGCCTACATACAAAAAAAGAGCAGGCATCAAGACCCTCCAACGTAGCGACGACTGCCACAGTCACTATTGCAGTGAGCTTGTTGTGGACTCTCAAGTGCAACTGTCGAGACGGCCCGAGAGCCAAGATGTGCTGAATTGTACCTTCCTCATCCAGCTTATTTTTTAGAGACCGAAGGGCCGCATGAGTTCCTGCGGCAACAAAAATGGGAGATCTGCATGCACAGTGCGTGTCCTTACAATGGGTGGCTGAGCTGTATGCACACCCGGACACCCATTCACGAACAATTGCACCAGCCACAGCTGTCTTCCCAGTCCCTGGAGGTCCTGCAGCAGTAGTCACCAACCACAGCAGCAACAATGGTTTTGAGAGAAAATCTCTCTGTCAGCGCTAGCTGCAAATGAATCGCATCGATAGAGGCCAGCTGTTACACCTGGGGTGTCCAACCACACATTTTCCTAGATCCGCTCAGCATACCTTCTATAGTTACGATACGGTTTTCTCGAGATATCGCTGCAAAAACAGCTTCACGCTGTCGGAAAGTCAAACTCTTCGAAAGTCCCAATAAACTCCGATGTGCTTCTTTGTCCTGCACTGTACCATTTGTTGCTGCGTCTGGCGCTTCTGTACCCTTCCTTGCCGGTGATACTGTTGAATGCAAGCCTTGTGTAGAGCAGGTCGACACTGCCAATTCATCCTCGACCACGGCAGCGAGACTTGCAGCCTTCTGAATACTTTTAGAGGATTTGTTGCTGCCCTTGTTAGCTGTGAGAACCCTTAAGACATGGCTTCCACTAAAAGGAGCAGTTTCTGATGGTGCTGCTGCTCCTTTTTTTGTTTCTGCTGCGCCTTGTGCAGACAGCAACTGCATCGAAGCGGCTCCAGCCAAACCTTCAAGGGTTTCTACTTGGCGAGTATGAACAGCAGCAATGAATGATACAGGCATTGCCCAGAACCGCGCGCCTTCAGGAAGCGAAAACCCGGCCTTTCCATCATGCTGTGATTCATGTTGTAGATATTGCTGTTGCTGTTCCGCTTTCTGAGCAGCACCTGCTACTGCCGACTCCGCTTCGTTGCCGCCCCCTCTCTTCTGAAACATTTCGCCTGCTAAAGATACGCAAGGGTGCACCTTAACCTTAAGGGCCTGGCGTCTGCTGTTGCTGCATACGGATGCGATAAAGGCCGGTGCCTCCAGCGCATATCTGTCTGATGCCCAGCATGTGGCCTGAATAGCAGAAAATACAACTAAATCTGAAACCGATTCAGCTGCCGGGAAATTAATTCTTCTGGAGACTACGCACAGACAGCTCTGAAAAGAAAAGCAGCAGCCGGTGAAATGCCAACAGCCGCAGCAGCTGCCACCGGCGGATCATCCCACCATATCTAGCTGCTGCAGCACTTCACGCAAGTCCCTGTACTTGAATCTCTCGCTCTGCCTGTGACCTTGGATTAAGGAAGAGGGATAGTCAGCTGCTCTTGCTGTTATCTCCATTTCGCTGCGAATTTCTGCTTTCCAGTTTGGTGCCGCTAGCATTGATGTTGCTCCTGCTGAGCAGTTTGGACAGTCCAGTGAGCGCTGAAGAAGTTTTTCGACAGAAACAAGGAACGTGAGACCACAGAATACGCAACGAACGTTGTGCTTTTCTCCTGTGGCTTCAAGCAAAGCCTGCAGCAGCTGCTGCCGCTCCTCCGTGATCCTAAGATCTCCTTCATGCCCTTGGTGCACGGGAAGCCCGGAGCCCGGATGAAAGGTTGACTGTAGTACTTCAGATGCTGCCGCTGCAGCGTGAACTGTTACAGAAGCGAAGTCAAACGAGCGACCGTGAAGAAGCCGCAGCTCCTTTGCCACGAATGCTGCTGCCTGAACTCACGACGCAACACACAGCAGGCCTAACAACCGATGGATGCAATAAAGGATAAAAGCAGCACAGTTACCAGCAACGGCGCTAATGCCAACGACTGCAACCATATCGGCAAGAATAATGCAGGTAACTGCAGCTGTGAAAGCCTGTGTCACAGCAAAGAAAACAGCGGAGCCGGCCTCAGCAGCCACAGCACCCACACTCACCGAGTCGACAGGTTTTAATATTAGTAGCGATCCGCTCTCTAGCTGCTGCCAAGTGTTCTTTTGCCGGTTAGGAGGCGGATGCAATGGCCCGTCAAGCACCCTGAAGCACCACCGAGGTGCTGCAGACCCAACACGTGGGGCTGCGCCGGCAGCCACCGCTTCCAGGAGAAAGCTTTCTGTGCAGTCAAAATCTCGGAAGCTCTGCAGCAGCAGAAACACTGACAGTTTCATCCAGCACGGCCAGACACCTGCTAGCTGGTAGTCCAGGAAGCGGGTATCCTTCTTAGACACATTCCAATAATGACACTGTAACGTGTGACTACTGAATTTGGCAGCCGCTGCGGCAGCCGCCGAAGTCGCTGCTGAAGCAGTAAGAACATTAGCAGTGGAAGCAGGAGACCTACCTGTAGTAGTTGTGCTCCCTTCTCTAAAGCAAGCGTTGTCAAGCCACTCTCCACATATGCCAAGCACTGCGCAGCCTCTGCATTTGCCACTGAGGCGAGAGAAGGCAGCAAAGTACTTTGTCCGCTGACTGGTGAAGGTTCCGCTGTTTCTGCTCCTGTGTGCTCTCCCGCTGCCGCTGCTGTGGTATTATTCGTCATTCCTAGTCGGACATGTTGCCTCAAGACGGTTATGGCATCTTGAGTGGCATGCGGGTGCAGTGCAGCGGCCTCTAAGAGCCGCAGCAGCTGTCGAAAGCTTACAACGCAGACCTTTTTGCCTGTAGCAGCAGAAACAGCAGCCACAGAAACGAAAGAGACGATAGTGGCAGTATTAGAAACATAGGCACATCCAATTACCCATATTGCTTATGGGCCATTGCAACTACTGTGAAAGAGCAAAAGGAGCTAGCGACGGCCTCCAATTTTGGCTGCGTCAATTCATTAGACGAGACCGCCACATCCTGAATAGCACAAGCAGTGGCATGTGAGGCTGACTTGAAGCCTCAACCATCTTATCGTGCTTTCTGCAAAGAGGTGGGTATTCAAGAAGTAGCTCCTTCCGCCGCTGTGGATCAGCCTCAGAGAGTATTTGCAGCCACTTCTTCCAAGCGGAAGCGGAGCTCAAGGAGCAGGTGCTGCACGCAGATACGACTAAGTGCTCCGCAGTTCGCGCTACAGTGTCAGCTACAGGTGCAGCGGCTTCTGAAGCGGATTCCACGGCAGTGGTTGCAGCAGAGGTTGTAGCTAGCCCAGCGAGCAATGCGCCACTTCTTGCTAAAAGTGACAACGACCGGAAAGGCACTGCAGCGCTGGCGGGGCTAACTGATGTCCCTGCTTCTGACTTCCTGCGGATATCTCTGGGCGGCATCACTGTGCCTTTCAAATCAGCCCATCCTTCAACAGTAGGCGCTGCATTTGAGAACTGCCCGAGCGAAGCTGCAGTAGAGGCAGCAACAGACGGCTCACTTCTCTGAAGTGTCCCGTGGCACGTCCCCTTTTGACGCAGGCGATGGGTCTTCAGTGCCTTCTCAGGAGAAGAGATTCTCACCGCTTCTGAAACTTCTAAACCCCCCAATGATCTGTAAACACCGAGCTGAACTCTGTAGCTGCTGCCGCCGCTAGACGTGCTTGTGGTGCTGCCGTTGTTGCTACTGCGGGTGCTTTTCACCGTAGTAGTCCGGGTCAAACTGTTAAGCTCAGAATTCTTCATGCAGAGCTCGTTCTGTAGCGGCATATGCAAGTGTTGACGATGCAGCCACTGGTGCAATAGCTGCTGTTGTTGCTGCTTCTGGGATCGCTGCACATATGTCCACGCCCTAATGGCAAAAACGTCGCCTTCCAAACATGAGGTTTTACTTTTCTCATCTGCAAGGCTCGTCGTTGCTAGCGTCCGTCCAAAGGTAGCCAAGTGATAAAAAGCCAGCCTCAGCTTTCCTATAGCATTCGTAGCTGCTGAGGCTGGGTCTTGATTTGCTTTCGACGCCATCCTTTCAGGAAAACTAGCGCACGGTGAAAATGGAGCCGGAGAGCGTCCTTCTGTCTTCTTCATTGTTTCTGCCTGTGCTACTGCCTTTGTCATTCGCACCGGTGACGCTCTCAGTCTACAGGGCGTCCGGCAAGCAACCACTTTGCCAAGCACCGAAGAACGTCGTTTGTTGCGGTTGGCTCCCACGGTGCTGCAGCTGCTGCATTCACATTGGCCCCTGCTGCACGAATGTACTACAGTTGAGTCTCTGTAAACGCCGTGAACAGCCACAGAGTATTGGCCTGCATATATTCCTGATACGTGTACAGGCAGGTGGCGTTGGAGCTCTCCTGAATACAGCATGTGGAGATATCGTTTTCCCTCTTGAAGCATTCTTCCGACATCCTTCCGGTATCTACTAGACCATGTCCCTGGCCTCATGACTATGTTGGCCCCAGCGGTGTTCTACGTTTTGCAATAAGGTTGATTGGCATGCGCGACATCACAAGACAACAACTGCTTCCGCGGAAGGCGTTGCTGCTGCTGCAGGTAGCAGCAGCAGCTGCCTCTAAATTGATGGAACATGCACCTGGAGGCAGTTGACTGTGCGTCTACAGCTTGTGGAGTTCCATTTTCTCGACAAGGTCTTCATACCACCCAAGCTAGACAACGACCTAGCTTGAAGGCCTGCCGATAGGCGCCTGCTTCGTAGAGCATACAGACATAGACAAAACTGGAAGACACAATAAATAAGGATGGCAATAATACACTGGGCAAGTCAGTGCCTTCTTGGATGACGGCGTTCTTATATGGCTGTTCCCAGTACTAGCTCATCGGGGGAGGGTTAATTATGAGGGCGATGCCTTGTCATCTCTAAGTCAACATCAAAAACTACTTGATAATAGTACAAAGCAAATAGCCGTCAGTGAAGCCGGTCATCACAGCAATTAGTTGGAGTCGTTCATTGAAGTGGCGGGCGGCGCCGACTCGGAGGGCATGCTCGGTGTCTGCACACAGTAGTTGGTCTTCAACAGCCAGAAACATAGAGATACAGTGGACCGATGGATTAACAAATCCATATATTTTTGCCATGTATATTTTGCGTTTTGGCTTTGCATAATTATCCATAAGCGCACGCAGCTCGACCCTCGCAACTCTTCCGATGAATGAGCCCACGAACCAGGAACAGCGGCTTCAAGATGGGCATTGAGGATCTATACATAGAAGCGAAGCTGTTCTAAAGTTTTGCACAAAAGTATTTTCTTGTTTCGTCTGTCGTACCCCGGCTACGCTCGTGAATCACAGCAACAATTCCGGAGCTGTCATAGTGAGCGCCTGCTCTTCACTGGTGGGTGATCTCAAGTTTGCCCAGGTCACAGATAGCTGCAGCTTCTAGTCTCTCCACTGCTTGTGAGGGGCCGACAAAGTGCAGGTTAGTTCCGCTTTACCATGTGAATGCCGGGGTACCATGATGCCAAGGATGCTACCGCTTTCCACAGGATGATGCAGCCACGGCAGTGACCTCAAAAATCTCCAATCAATAGGCAATTATGATAAAACAACTTTTGATGGGGTTGATTATGCAAACAGAAAGCCCTGCATATGTTAACTACCGCAGCTTGTAAGTACGTACCTACAGCCTTCTGTGAAGTATGAGGTTGTGGCCGAAGTGCAAATGTTTTCTGGCATAAGAGCAGTAGCAAGTTACTCTGTAGATCCATGATACGCAAGCCTTTCCCCGACCAGGCTGTCCGTTCAAATTAACTGTGCACCTCTTGTGAGGAGGGCTAAAAGTAACTTCCTGGGAAGGATGCCATGCGTGTTGCAAGGTCTCCGCAGCTGCGGCGTTTAGGAGCACCCTTACTACTGTGGCTGCGGGGCTTTAGGCTTAACTTTACATCTGAACGTTTTTTACCCCCTCACACTGAGAATTATTGCGTCGTTCACGGCATAACGTAACAATATACAATGTATGTCATTAAATTTATGTGAAGGTGCGAATATTGACCTCTGAGAGTTTCACGCGCATAGCGAGTAGAGCAGAGCCTTTGTATGCTAATCAAAGAGTACGACTCTTCGTTTGCCCGAGGTAGCGGGTCCGTTAAAAGAAAATGCACACATGCAGCGAGTCAAGCAGGAAGAGCCCCAACCGCGATTGGAACCGTGGAGCGATACGAGATTAAAGACGCCAGAAAATCTTCTATTTTTGCTTCGATACAAACTCGCTTATACTTTGCAGTTCTTCGGCAGTGGGGAACAGATCCTGGCACTTGAGGTCAGCCGCGCGAGAAAAGAAAGTTGCCATTTGCAGTTTCGAAAGACCAGAAATAACAGGCAACGCAGCAGCATTATTTTTATCAAACAGCGCCCTACACGTGACAAGCTCTCGCAACGGGGTTCTCAAGTCTATAATCTGTGCAAGGTTAGCCACAGAGTAGCGTCTATCAGAAAAGCGCAGACAAGAGTTGTATAGCAGTCTTGAGCCGCTTCCTTTCTCTTCTTTCATCACGCTAAACAGGAGTTTCGCCGCATCCACTAAGCAGCCATTAGCACAGCCCTCAATGACGCCATAGAGAAGCCTGCAATTCCGCAGCACGCCTAGCAGCTCTACCAAATGAACAAGAAACAGCCTAGAGACACTACTGGGAAGATAGTCATCGGCAAGCCTTGTTTGGCAATGTATGCGCTTGGTCATCCTTCCAGGCATCCTTACCCAAAAGAAATCATTCACTTGCAGGCCGGACCACCGAACTATTCATCGCGTATATTTCACCGCAGATCTAGTGAAAGTCAACTAGTTTACGTCTTGTGTGGAGCTTACCTGGTATCTTCGACCAGAAAGCCAGTCAAAGATTCAGCCTCAACTTCTCCCGATGTCGCGAACCTCATTTTAGTGTCATTACCTTCTAGCTTTTCAACGCTCGAACATCGATCTTTATCTTTCTCTCCTAATTGCCTCGCCTGCTTAGCCAATCGGCTTTCCAGCGGGGCCACAAGAAATAAGCGATTTATTTCTTGTTTTGGCAGCAGCAAGGGGACACTCCGCTCCACCACGTCGCCTTGCTGAAGCACACGCGGACCTTGCAGAACAAGCCGCAGCACGCTTACTGAAACGTTACCTATGCGATTTGTATAAACTTCCGTTTTTAAAAAATTCGCACATTTTTGAATATGTGACAGCATATTTCCGTATTCTCTTTCAGCTGCGTCGATGCATATCAACGCCTTGATGTCTACAAACGGGCAAAGTTGCAGCATCACAGCTGTAGTCATCTCCTAGGATGCGAAGATATTCAGCACTATCCATTTTGCTCGCTCGTGGACATACGCCTGGCTGAACAAAAGTACTTAACAGCTCTCAAGAAATGCAACACATGCCACATGCCGTACTTCGTGGAATCCTTGCCTGATGAAACGCCGCTGGCCTAGGCGAAGCACCCGGCTGCAAACCTTTAAAGAGCGGTTCTGCAAGCCTGATTTCTATTGACATGAGGGCACCACTTTCCATAAACTCGGGACCCTTGATATGTCTTGGCTGAAAAGTCTCGCTGCCTTCTTTTCCGACTAGGTGCCCAGAAAACGGCAGAACATCAGTGCAGAATACAAGGTGAGTGGCCATACAGCTAGATAATGCCGTCAAACAGAATGAGGCGACTGCAAGGGGAGGCCGGAGTCGCGTTGTATCTGGAGACGCTAGTAAATAATTAACGTAGCCTGGAGGTGAGGTACTTGAAGGCCCACTGCTCTCTGCGGGGTTTATTGCAGAGCGCTGTGATTTTGCTGTCTGCCTTCGGGCTTTTGCTGGAGTTCCAGCTGCAGCCTTTTGCGGCTTTGTGGGCATACGCCCTGTGGCTTTCTCTCGGTACCGAACATCAGTGCTGTTAGAGCATGACTCTGATATGTCCGTACGTCCTGAACTTTCTGCTGCTTGATGAAGCTCAACTCTGAATCTGCGCTCCTCAATAAAATCTTTAAGCTCGTTTTGATCAGCCGCTGACGGCCCCCAGAAACAAAGAAAGCCTGCATTCCATCTGATGGCATTTGCCGTTGAAGCAGAAGATAGCTCCTTCGGCTCGGTTTCTAAAACTGTTCGAAAGGCATGAGCACGGGCAAAGTACTGAGAAACAGCTTCTGGAGGGTTTTTCGTCTGACTGAGAGATTGCCCCCTAGATTGCAGCTCGTCACGGGCTCCTTTTATCTCGCTTGCATGTACAGTGGAAAGCGCAGCAGGAGCAGCGGGCACAGCAGCAGTTGCCGCTGTTGCTCCTAATACCGCTGTCGCTGATGGTGATATTGCCGCAGTGGCTTCTGCAGGAACCCCAGGATTATCATTATGTCGCGCCTGCTGGGGAGACTGGCTGAGCAATGGAAGACCACGAACATCTTTAATGAGTATCCAGACTGGATTTAAAAGGTGCCGCAGTTCCTGCGAAAGTAACGACGTCATTGCTTTCACTTCGACGTGGAAGGAATGAAGCCCTAAGACACAGTGACTCTGAAGCATGTCCACGCAATAATTCTCCAGCATACTTCGCTCTCTTGATAAAAACGTGAAGTACCAGTATTGCGGCGCCGTTCACCGTAGCGTCAAGACTTGTCACTTAATGCCTTATACTTGAAAATTCTGCGAGTTAGACAACACACTCTCAAGGTGCATATCACTTTTGCAGGGCCTAACCTGGAACCCGCGCGAGGGTTTCTTGAACTCCTTCGGGCGGCTGCGCTCGTTCACCGTCTTTGAGAAGCAAAAGGGGAGCAACCGACATCTCAGCTATGCGTGACTCTCCGGATGGAATGGCCGAGCGAGACGCGCCTCCCTTTTTTCCCATTCGCTCCTTTCCTTCAGACCTAGATATCTTTGTTTGAGCTTCTTTGCGTTGAGCCACATCTGCGCTGGATTCTGTAGTCCTAACGACAGTAAATGCTAAGCTCTCTTTGCTGAATTGCTCGCAAGAAGTGGCAGGCAAACTGAATGGTGTGAGAATAAGCTCATACTTCACTGCAGCCCACTGGCAACAGTCCTCTGTGGATTCATTTTGGGCGTTATCAGGTGACCCTGCAATGAGAACCAAAGAAGCGCCCGTGCAGGCCGCCGCACTTTGTGCTCTGTCTGACCATGAAGAGAGAGGTCCCGTCTCATAAACTTTTCCTAGGAAGGTACAGAAGACGTGCAAACATGGAAGGGCCTCCTTATCGGCAATCACGGAGAATTCAACAGCGATGGTTGCAGCTGTATTATAAGGAGCCTCTGTCGCCTCGACGGAAAGTCGAAGCAGTGCTCCTTCAGGCGCGACAGCCTGATTACTGCCACCAGGCTGTGCCATTTCGGGAAAGAAGCAGCAGAAAATTTCCTAGCATTTCTTTGTGATAAAGGTCCGCTCTGCGGAACCTGCGCACTTTGAAGCTGCCTACGCGGTGAATCCTGAATTCTGTTTTTCTCT